CTTTCTGAATAAAACCTCGTTTAACGAAAGAATATATTTGCATGCACCAGGTTGCGGAGGTTTCTTAAACAAGGCAAGTGACTCCTTCCAATCCCCTGGCTATCCAAACTCCTACCCTGCCAACACGACGTGTTCTTGGATCATAAAAGCCCCTACAGACCACAAGATAAATCTTGATTTTAAAGATTTTAAACTGCAGGGCAGTTCTCGCTGCCGTCGCGACTCGTTAGAGATTTATGACGGATCCAGTATCCGGGCGTCAAAGCTCGGAAAGTACTGTGGCTCGAGAAAACCAGTGACGCTTACATCAAGCGGTAATCGCCTTTACATCCGGTTTAGCAGTGATGGTGCTGTTGGTAAAAGAGGATTTAACGCATCGTATAATACCACTTTAGGTAAGCCGCACTGATTTTTGCTGTTGTTCAGAAACAGTGCTCGGATGAACCTCAAGATAATCGTTTTAGGCGTCGGCACTTGCCAAGGGATGGTCTGATCTTTCCGATTTTGCCTCCACTACACTCCACTACCGAACACACAAAACAAAATACATGGAAGCATGGGCGCGTCGGTCAGCCCGGCCCAGAACAGAATCAGCGAAAACTAAACTAAACAAAGCAAGTTGACGCGGCGAGGCCGACCGTAGAATGACACGCACAACTAAACGGTCACTAAATCAAACCCCCTAACCGCGATCCCTCGCAGGCTACACTAGAACCCAGCTCTCCATTCCGTACCGGCAAAATAGTAATTTACACAAATTGCATAATATTTTGCCACTTGTCGAACAGGATTTCTCCTGGACGCGGTATTCTTGCGTAAAAGTGCATAATTTTCTTTGCCTGTTATTGTATGCTATTAAGTCTACACCTGTGGTAATTTTCTTCTAGAAACTTGTCAGTAATCTCCACTGACGCGAAAATGTGGGTTGAAATCCCGCTGAAGCTCTCACTTACAGCGAAATTCGTTGTATCGCGCTGCGCGTACTGCAAACTTCTAAGGGATTTTGGGTTTTTCTGTTCCGTCAATCATTTTAGTGAAGGCGGGGTTAATGCAAATCACAATGCAACGTGCTCGCCAAGCTTGGCTGAGAATGACTCTAGACTGTTCAAGAATAGCGAAGGAAATCGCGATGGTGAGTAGATTTTTTGTCGAAGGAAGAAGGCAGACGTTGCTTTATTCTTGCAAGTGACAAGAATAAGAAAGATCAGGAAAATCTGCGAAGCAAACTGAACTAGTCAATTATTGCCCGAAACAGGACGATCACAAAGCAACGAACCTTGAAATACGAAACAAACAAAACGGATCGAAATCCACCAATCACGAATCACAAACCATGACCTTTGGAACTTGAACAAGTTAACATGTGTTTCCTAAGAGGTCCGCTAAGATGATTGCCGGAACAGAAAAACCCAAAAATCCTTCGAAATTTGCAAAACGCACAGCGTGATACAACGAATTTCGCTATAATTTAAGTTAATTTTAAGGCTTCTTTAAATTGCATGCCTTACTTTTTTGTAAATTACTTTACATTTTACCCTTTAAGTCCCAATAGTGACAAATGTTAATTTTCTCCTGAAAATATCCATACAAGGTCAAAGAGATTAGGTTATGAGAATTAATAAAATGATCACTTAAGAGAAAATGCTTTGATCTACCATCAAGTTCTCTCAACTTATTTTTTAAGGAAATGTATAGAGATCAGTTTGAAGAACTTGTATGTGGATAGTGGGGCTTAAAGGGTTAACATAAACGCTCTTGCCGCATTATATCATCCTGCTCTTAAACTGCAGTAATTCTGTGGTCTCCTTAAATCTTAATAGTTCCTCTTCCTAGCCAATCACTTGATAGGTAGTGGAAAAAACGGATATGAAGCGAGGGAAGGTGACTTCACCAGAATCCCTCTCTTTTAAACTAAGAACGTATGTTATCCGCATTTAACTACTTTGAAAGGCAAACAGTAGAACTGGACTTTTCTCCTTAGGCCCTAAATCCCCACCCCCTCCTCGCTTTTCTTCTTAATGCTCACTTCTCATGGCGCCGTCCGCACTTTCTGGAAGTCTGAAACAGTCTACTAGCAAAGAGAACAAAACGCTCTACTGGGTGCTGGCGCGGCCTTTTGCGAAGGAGGGTTCTTCATAGTCATTTTATTGTCACTCTTTTTGTGTTTAGGTTGCGGAGGAACATACCAAGGAAGAGATGGAACTATAAGCTCTCCAAAGTATCCAAGCTTCTACTCCTCCAATGCCAACTGTCTGTTTAAAATAATAGTACCCACTGGGTTTAGAGTGAGGGTGACGTTTAAAGTTTTCAACCTCGAGAAAGGAGGTATGTTTATGAAAAGGTACAAAACGTAGGTAGGTAGGTAGGTAAGTAGATAGGTAGGTAGGTAGGTAGGTAGGTAGGTGGACAGGTAGGTAGATAGGTAGGTAGGTAGGTGGGCAGGTAGGTAAATAGGTAGGTAGATAGGTAGGTAGGTAGGTAGATAGGTAAGTAGGTAGGTAGGTAGATAGGTACGTAGGTAGGCGGGCAGGTAGGTAGATAGGTACGTAGGTAGGTGGGCAGGTAGGTAGATAGGTACGTAGGTAGGTGGGCAGGTAGGTAGATAGGTAGGTAGGTAGGTAGATAGGTAGCTGGGTAGATAGGTAAGTAGGTAGGTAGGTAGATAGGTAGGTAGATAGGTAGGTAGGTAGGTAGGTAAGTAGGTAGGTAGATAGGTAGGTAGGTAGGTAGGTAGGTAGGTAGGTAGGTAGGTAGGTAGGAAGATCGGAGTTTGGGTAGTTAAGAAAGTAAATATAGGTAGGTAGCTACAAGGTAGCTAGGTAGCCACGCCCACTTTTAGAAAGCCAGCTTTCTACACGTGCTTTTTGTGACAGATGCTATTGTAACAACTTTGCTTTTTTTTTTCAGGAAGGAACTGCTATGACTTTGTTGAAGCGCACGATGGGCCTCTAATCACTAACCATTCTCTTGGACAGTTTTGTGGAAAACATACACCCTTCAGTCTCCATTCAACAAGCAACGTTATGCTTTTGCGGTTTCATTCTGATTCGTCAGTGAACAATAAGGGCTTCCAGCTTGCCTATACAGCAGATAGTGAGTAATGACAACTAAGTTTTTCTAAGTCCAAAGTAGAAAACGTTCCCAGCGGTTCCCTATGATAAGCAGAATACCTTAAATTGCCAAGAGTGACCAACATCAGTTTTCCTCTTACAATATCAATAAATTGTCATGAGCAGAGGTCATGAGAATTAATAAAATAATCACCAAAGGGAAAATGCTTTGATCTATTATCAAATAGGCCACTTGCACCAAGAGGTCACGTGAACAGTGCTTCCTTTAAATAATGAGTTTTAATCTTGATGATGCCAAAAATTGACACAGAACATAAACATCATCTTACACCCGAAATTTGAGAGGAAACGCATTTAAGGGAGCTATTTTATGGCACTTTGATTTTTCAACAAAGTAGTATGATTTGTATTGGCCACCATGTTGGAGGGCGCATTCTCTTGCCCTCCAACATGGCGGCCAAAACTATTTTTTGCTTATATCTTGTTAAACGTTTGAAAGTTACGCTCAGATGTGCTGTAAACGTTACCACATCATCTTTTCAACATTTTCCTTGATGTTTTAGTGTAAAATTTGTGTTAAGAAAGAAGTAATTCATGATTTGAAAATCACATTTTGGTCACGTGACCAGCTACAAACTTACTCATTGTAACAAAATGGTGCGGGTTTGAAAAACCAAATCAGTATAATTTGATATGACCCACTAATCGTTTTTCGGAGGCAAAATCATATAAATTTCATTGAACGATGTCACATGACCTCTTAGTGGAAGTGGCCTATTCTCTCCACTTATCCTTTAAGGAAATATATGGAGTTCAGTCAGGAGAATTTGTATGTTTATATTGCGGCTTAAAGGTTGAGCGCAGACCCAATGGGGAGGAATTTCAACACACCACATAAAAAGGAGCAAGGTGCCCGACAGAAAATAGCCGCTAGCTTTCTGATTTCTTGGCTAAGAAGGCAAGAAGACCAATATTTTAGAACATCATTTTGGTTTCGGAAACTTGTAGCTAAACTGAGTTATTTTCTAAGTCATTTGGTACTTTATTTGATCCTTAGTCTTACTGGAAATTTAATGAGACCCGTAAGGGCAGTTTCACGTGACCTGGTAGTCTTAAAACAGACTATCGTTAACTGGGCTGAATTTCCTCAGGACCGGAATACGCGAACCCCTTTTCTCTTGATAAGTTAGAGTGGGTGTTACTTTTGAACGGGTTTGGTTATCAGACTTAGTGCTTCAGGTGTAAAAGGTTGATGGTTCACACTTGTTTTGGGGGGTTTCTTGGTGTTGCTGAAGCTATTACTAGTTACTATTTTGCTGTGGTGTAGACGTATACCAGTGTCTGCTTAGTCCAGCACATTAGACCTCATTTCGTGATCGAACGGTAGGCAACACCAAGCTAACACCAGGAAACTGCCGTTTTGTTCTTTACACTTGACTATCGTCGCTGTTTCTGTCCTCCTCGAGGATAGACTAGGGACCTTACGATTCGACAACGGCAACGTCCATGAAAACTTCGCTGAAAAATAGACTCTGCATCCTTTCACTTTTTTCGCGATTATTCCAAGGGGCTCAGTTACTTAAAAGAAGGGAATTTGGATTGGAGCTGAAGAGAAGGGACCGCGCCCAAGCTCTGACAGAGATGGTAGAATTTATCGGCTTGCCGTTCCAGTTCTTAAGTAAACTTAACAGAGACGGCAAACAAATGTACAAAACAGCGTGACGCACGTGCAAAGTTGTTGTTTTGCTCATTAAACCTATTGCTTTTTTGACGTTCCCGTTGCCGTCGCCGTCGTAGTTTCGTAAGGTGCCTACTGTCTGTTCGAGGAAGGTTTTCAGAACGGCAGCTGTCAATCGAGCCTTCTTGCGAGATGGTCAAAATAACGATTAAACCAGTTCATCTGATATTTTATATGATCAAGGTCTGGTATCCACAACTACGGTCTCCTCAACGAAAATACCTTCGTGTGGATTTGATCAATTCCACTGCACAAACGGCAGATGTATCGATAGCGTTATGGTTTGCGACCGTAACGACGACTGCGGAGATGGGGCAGACGAGAAAAACTGTTCCTGTCGCAGCGATGAGTTGAGATGCGCCAATGGGAAGTGCGTCGATAACCTTTGGAAATGTGATGGTGAAGATGACTGTGAAGATGGCACGGACGAGCTGAATTGCGACGGCCCTCCTTCAGGTAATAACAAATAAATTATTAAATAAACAACGACAACAAAAAATACTGTATTTAAGTGTCAGTTCGTTTAAGAGCGAACTGCTAATTGCTGACACTTTTACATTCCCTACTGTAGGCCAGTCTGTTTACAGAGGTTTATTATTATTATTCAGTCAAAATTTTTCTTCTATTCTGATTTGCTAGTACCCCGCGATTATTCTCCATAAATAGTAAGAGTTGACCAAATTTCGAAGATGTTTGCAGATATCAGTTAAAAGTGTCTCACTTTAAAGATAATTGATAGAAAAAGGTACCGCAGAAGCCGCTTTTAAAAAACAGCCAGTTTCGCACAGCTGAAAAAAAAAAAAGATTGATTTCAAACGTAATGCGACCAGAAATAACAGAAAGGTTAGGTAAAAATATTTTCTTAAGTTGGGGGATATTTTGAATAATAAAGACCCTCCCCAAACTGCGTAATCCTTAATATTATACTTCGCCTCGTCTGTTAATTGCCAAACGATAACCCTTAATTTCTTGTCTCAGTGACCTTCAACTGCTCTGTTAACAACGGAGGATGTGATCACAAATGTACCGAGCTCTATGTTGGCGACAGGAAAAACATCCAGTGCTCGTGCAAGCGAGGTTACACGCTACAGGCGGACGGTATAAGCTGTTTTGGTGAGGATTAAGGATTGTTTCGTTTACACAGGGACTGAAAATATAGGGGCCAGGGCCGAGTTGTTCAAAGCTGGGTTAAGATAACCCCGGGTTAGTGCGAGATTTGAATTAAGATTTGAAAGCGTAAAAATCATTTCAGTTTTAATGTTTTTTTGTCTACAAGTTGATGATTGGAAGCTCTAAAATATCAGAGAAAATTATCCGAGAAAAAGCTTTTGAACATAAGAAAAAGAAACCCGGGTTAAATTTAACCTCGGGTTAAGCGCTAATCAGCCTTCGAACAACTGGGCCCAGGGGCCCGTTTCTCGAAAGTCCCGATAATTAACGGGCCCGTAAAGCTGTTGTTGTTTACATACAAGATAGAGGTTTCAACAGTTTTGCATCTAACACGACAAAACCATCAGTTCATGAAACAAAATGGAATAGTTTTCTAGCCAGGACCCGCGCTCTTATTCTTTATATTTCGATTGGAATATTTGATTTCGGGCCCGAAAAGTTACCGGGTCTTTCAAGAAACGGGCCCCAGGAGGGGCAGCCGGCCCGCTAATTACCCCTTTCAGAGTGGACAATGTTGTAAGGCGATTCTAACGTTTGAGTCTTTGGGCAAAATTCTATGCTGTTACCATGGAAATGAAACCTCTTTGGCCAAACGTAAGCTTAGCACTACAGTGTTCAGTTTGTTTTCTGTATTTCACAAAGTGAAATTTGGAAATTTTGTCGAATTTTGACTTTGGCTTCTTCTGGCCATAGTTATTAAAGTGGAATGGTTCCGAAACTCGTCAGACTATTTTGTTACATGTTCTTGTTAGCTTTTTTGGAACTGACCGTGCACAACGTTCGATAGAATTTCTTTATTTTGAACGTACTAACCAGAAGAAACATTGCATTAATTTATTCAGTTAAAATTAATTTTGTGAACAANAAGAAAAAGAAACCCGGGTTAAATTTAACCTCGGGTTAAGCGCTAATCAGCCTTCGAACAACTGGGCCCAGGGGCCCGTTTCTCGAAAGTCCCGATAATTAACGGGCCCGTAAAGCTGTTGTTGTTTACATACAAGATAGAGGTTTCAACAGTTTTGCATCTAACACGACAAAACCATCAGTTCATGAAACAAAATGGAATAGTTTTCTAGCCAGGACCCGCGCTCTTATTCTTTATATTTCGATTGGAATATTTGATTTCGGGCCCGAAAAGTTACCGGGTCTTTCAAGAAACGGGCCCCAGGAGGGGCAGCCGGCCCGCTAATTACCCCTTTCAGAGTGGACAATGTTGTAAGGCGATTCTAACGTTTGAGTCTTTGGGCAAAATTCTATGCTGTTACCATGGAAATGAAACCTCTTTGGCCAAACGTAAGCTTAGCACTACAGTGTTCAGTTTGTTTTCTGTATTTCACAAAGTGAAATTTGGAAATTTTGTCGAATTTTGACTTTGGCTTCTTCTGGCCATAGTTATTAAAGTGGAATGGTTCCGAAACTCGTCAGACTATTTTGTTACATGTTCTTGTTAGCTTTTTTGGAACTGACCGTGCACAACGTTCAATAGCATTTCTTTATTTTGAACGTACTAACCAGAAGAAACATTGCATTAATTTATTCAGTTACAATTAATTTTGTAAACAAAAACCAAAGGATTGTGCACGGTCAGGGAGCTTCCAACATAAACTAGAGTACCGTTGTTTTCAACTTTGATGTTTGCCGGATTCCTAACCAGTCTCCTCTTCTAACTATGTTAGACAGCGAAAATCAACTTTCTGATTACATGACAACCGATCCATCCCGGGTTAGGGATCCCGATATCGGCTGGCCAGCCCGGCGAATCAAACCAACAACTTGACTCGCTCGGCATAAAGGGCAGGCGATAAAACAAGCCAACGTAACCTGGCTCTTGTAATCAGCGACATCGTCTAAGTTCATTTGCGTGAGGACAAAGACCTTTTTTAGGTCACGTGCGGTCTCGGCTTGACAAACAGGTTGGGCTGCTTTTCCGTGACGTCGTGACAATATTACAACTATTCTGTAAAACTACCAATCAAACAACAACAACAAACAAACAGGGCTCGGCTTTTTTCTTTAAATGTGTCGAAACCAAGGCTTCACGTAGTCATACAAGTAAGCTTTTCCACAAGTTTGGTGCACTAGAAAAGAATCAGTTTGTCAGTCTTGTCTTTCTCTTGCAGACATCGATGAATGCCAAACCAACAATGGCGGCTGTCAACACAGCTGTATAAATACAAATGGTAGTCACCAGTGTGCTTGTAATAAAGGATATTTTCTCAACGTTGACAAGGTCAAATGTGAAGGTGGGCAATGATAACGGAAAAACCTCAAT